ACTTACCTTTAAGTAGACAGTGTGAAATCCAAATATCCGGAACTTCAGAAGCTTTCTTTCAAACTACGATCTGCTCCTCAGCGGTGATGTTAATGCATGCGGCCCTTAGATGGGAGAGTCCGGCTTGGGGAGAAACTTCCCGCATCCCCGCCTGTGAAGTTGATAAATCAACCATCCCCGGAAAAGGGTAAAGTCATTTATGTGAATCATTGTTAACATGATTGCAGTTGATAAAACAAGCAAAACGTATATAAGGCAAAACCAAGTGGACTCGGTTTATTTCACTACCGCGTTATAATCAAGGTTGGGGAACTCCACTCACTACCCTCCACCTTCCCTTTTCTCCCTCCAATCTCAGCAGTGCCATTTCAGATGGTCCATTACCTGCACCGTTCGAATGCTACTTTAGCACGCTGGTATGAGAAGTTTTTCGTGGGCTCGTTTCTCCATTCGACTCCCACCATTACTATCTACCTCACCTACATGTATTGTGGCATCGTCCTTGCTGTTCTTTTCTTCTGCATTTCGATGGTGATTCTGTGGAGACAAGCAGACAAGTGGAAAAAGTACGCGGATCATATTTGTACTGCATATGATTATTACAGCGTGAGTAAACCTAGTCACACGACCAGGAGCCCGGTCCCTGATCCTTTGTTTAGGGTCGTTCGAGAATACCAGCAAGATCAAAGCGGCCCAGAAGATCTAGAAAGTCCAGACATCGCTCACATCGCTCATCACGATCGCGACGTTCTTCAAGATCACGCGGTTCAAGATCGCGGCATTCCTCTAGATCGCGACACTCCAGATCCGGTCGTTCGCGAAGATCTTCGAGGCGTTCGGGACGTTCACGCAGATCCCGTGGACGCCACAGATCATCTCGCTCCAGGCGCAGTAGACGTTCTTCGCGTAGTTCACGTAGATAGATGTACGCACACCATTTCACTTTCGATGACTTTCTTGACGATGCTCGATGGTACTGCGGTGTGCTAAGCATAAAGTCTTCTTGTTAGCTATATTATTCAAAAACAACCATACAAACAATCCAAGAGAAACATCAAATATCCAGTAAAGCTTCGGCGGTACATAGCCCGCTGTCACCGTTGTTAACTACTACTGTAGCTCTTGCTATTACGGTGTTACTGCTGGTCGCTCATAGCAGCGGCAACAGAGCGGGCAGTAACAACGACAGCACTAGCATCGGCAAGGAAGCCTAATGGCGACTCAAGACAGGTGACAAGTCATCTTGTGAAGTAACATGGGTTCGGAGGTGAAATCTTGCCAACAAAGCGTGATGGTCTTAGATAACAGTGAGTGGAAAAGTAATGCTGTAACGTGCAGGTTTAACAAGTTTTTCCTTGTAATCACGGAAGGTCCACAACCCGCCTACGCACGAATCTGAGAGCCATCATATGTTAAACCAGTGCGTTACCTCTGCTTCGCAAAACCTATGTATATATACGCCTTAGTCATTCTTGGATAATAATGGTACTGAAACTCACCGCGCAAAGTTGGTTATCACGAATGGCTGTAAATTATTTACTCCGAAAACTGTTTCATGTGAGCTCAGTAGCTTCGCCTGGATGAAACTTTCCGCAGAAAAGCAAGTGCAAATCTGAATCTGTTTTTGTTTTGGAGTTTTGGACTTTTATGGCTTAGTCGCTATAATGACAATAATCGTCTCGATTTACGTCTGCATGCAAGCTTTTCAAAACTCT